AACTTGGAACGCCGAACTCAGGTGAGAAGACGCGATGACCTGGGCCCCACTGGAATAGAACAACTTGCTAGCCTTGCTTTTTCTTCACCTGTGATTTTTGGGACCTGGACCTTAGCATCTTGTAACGTGAGCTTGACGGTGGCTGGACCCGCAGCGCTACCAAGGTTTGCCCCTTTCTGCAGCTTTCTTGAGGGCTGATGCTCTATCTCAAGTGTGTCTTTCTGATGAGCGCGCAGGGTGAGCTGGCAGAGAGCTCTCCGCGCAGCAGCCGAGCTTGCGGACGCTAAATTGACATTGCCATCATCACTGTGACCAAGCGGCTCTTCGCAGACGTGGCTGCTTCATGGCAAGATTGTAGCCAGCAGCACCCTCGTCTTAAACTGGACGGGGATCTCACAACCACTAACAGCTCGAAGCGGGCATTGACAGCCAATCCTCGTAGAGTCGGCGTATACAGGAAATCCCAGGAGAAGGCAAAGACGACGGCAGGCAAGGAGCAAGTAGAGCACGGCAAGAAAGTAGCCTGGCAACTCGCAAATTTCCAGCAATTGTTGAAAGTTCCAGACAATGAACAATTGAAAAAGGGAGAAGTGAGGTGGGAAGGAAGAGAAAGTGCGAGAAGCCCTCCCGCAAACAGGCTCTTTGGGTTTGCTTCCAGGCACACTAGCGCAGACATCATTCAAGGTCTTGCAGGAACGTCAGAAGTTCCGCCCGCTACTGTGTGCGCGCATGGTGTGTAGTAGCCTTGAAATCACAAGTTGCCCTTGGAATCACACCGTGCAAGTTTGGCGCTAACAGCAGTTCTGCGGTATCAACTCAGGACGCCGAGTTCAGATACCTGCAAGAAAACGCGATGACCTGGCCCATTGCTTCCGTTCTTCATCGGCAAACATGCACTCGCCGTTCGACCTGTGAGTTTCTGGAACTGACCCTTAGCGTTCTGCAACGTGAATTTGCAATTTGTCGGCTTCTGGAGCTTGAAGGCGGTCGGACCCAGCTGCAATACTTACGTTTTGAAAGCTTTTTCAGGGCCGGCGCTCTATCTCAATTGCGTGTGCGTGCGCACGCGGCGAGCGCATCACTTCCAAAATACACCACACCGGTAGATACATCTCACCCTCATCACTGCGCGTCAAATCATATTACAGGGCTTGGCCAACGCTTGAAGTGTCATTGGCCGTCTGAGTGGCAGCCTCAAACTCCTCGTTGGGCAATCGTGTCACGGCTCCGGTGTCCTTGCGCGTGTCTTGCGGAAGCCCCTTTCCCTCTCTACCCTTTGACTGCTCTGACTTGTCGTGGACGGTAGGTGGCCTGCAAGCCCCAGGCATCACCCCCATGTCTTTCGTGAAGTTGGGGTGGCTGAGGTCGGCAAGAGAGCTATTGACCTGGCATGGGTCTCCCCGCAAAACCTCGCCATTGCGGCTTTCAACACTTGAGTCGGCCCACATGGCCCAAGAGGCAGTGAAGATGTTGAAGGAGGTGAAAGATAGGGGAGGAGGAGAAGGGCGTTTACGGGAAGCTAGCCTTCAAGGGTTGGATCATCTTTGCTCAAGAGGCCTCCAGAAAGAGCTCAGTGCAGCAGAGGCTCAGAGAAGCCGGTGGATGTAGTTGACATGAGCACTGAAGGAGAAGGGGTCAGAGACGCTTTGAGGTCAGTCTTCTTCTCTCTTTCCCTGGATAATTTCACCTGACACGAGCCCCCCAGCGGGCTCCATGGAAACACTCGAAAGTGCGGTGCGCCACAGATTCTAAACCTGACTGCAAGACAATCGGATGCTCCAAACGAGGATAACTTTGAACTTTGAACCCTTCGAGGTCTAAGGCCAATTTGGGTTGTTTCCAGGGGGTGACACAATCCACGTCCAAGTGTTTCTCATCCCCAACTTACACTGCTCGTTTCCACAATAAGGATTTGCAAACATCTACTGTACCAGAATCTACCAATCCTTCAAATGTTTTTCTCTCGAACAACATGCAAATGCACCTCAGCCGGAGTTACATCAGGAGCATTCTCAGGAAACCAAGGCTGTGTCTCTGGTAACCTTGGCTCAAACAATGTGACCAAAGCTCTCCTGGCACTGGCCCTGTAAACGCATATTCAAGCTGTCCTGATTAAAGCCTGAACAATTGTGGTCCGAATGAACTCTCGGGCGTTCGAACAAGGCAAACAAATCGCACTGCAATTGTGAACTCTTCCACGGCCAAAGGGCTGTTGATGCTGCTGTTGCTGTTGCTGTTGTTGCCAAAACAAATATTCTCCAGCCATTTGCCTGGACCATGTGAGCTCAAGCCACAAATGCTGGGAGGCTTACAAAGCCACCCAAAAGTGGTGTGAGTAGAGCAACCCGCCTGTCTTGAACTTCCCAAAGACTCGCCTCCAATGTCTCCAGCATCTTCAAATGGAAAACTGATCGCTGATACTGTAAAAACTGTGTTTCTTAGGAAAGCTAGCAACTAGTCTAAAACCAAAGTCATCGTTCGGAATCCACTAAAATAATTCTTCGGTGCACCTCAGCTGGATGTGCATCAGGAGCATTCTGAGGAAACCAAGGCTGTGTCTCTGGTAACCTTGGCTCAACGATATGACCAAAGTGCCCTGTAAACACACATATATATATACAGTATATATATATATCAAACCTGTCCTGAATTGAGCCTGGACAATTGTGGTCCAAATGAACTCTGGAGCTCTGGAGCTTTCGAACAAAATTGCGCTGCAAATATTGATCTTCCACAGCCTTCCACAGCCAAATAGCTGTTGATGTGGCAGTTGCTGTTGCTGCTGTTGCCAAAACAAATATTCTCCAATCATTTGCCTGGACCACGTCAGCACAAGCCACCAATTCTGGGAGGGTTACAAAGCACGGCGACGGCTCAACCCACCTGTCTGGAACTTGCCACATACTCCCCTTGGTATTCAAACAGGAACCGCCTTGTGTCAAGAGTCAAATCACCCTACAAGCCAGAAGATATGCATCTCTTCGAACCAATCTGGAAGCAAAGCTGTTGGGTGCAAGTTGTCTTGTCTGCAACTAGTAGCCCAGGGTGCAAACGTCAGGAATGGAAGCCATCGGGATGGTCAAAACCTTTGCCATGCGACCCAGGAGCAGCAAACGGATCGCTTTTGCTGAAGCCAAAATTGTTCACAGGGCCATGGTTATGCCATTGAACTTGATCAATGCCAATGTGTGCAAAACCATGCTAAACTAACAACTTGACCAAGTCCTCGTTGCACCTACCTTCACGACCCTTTTGTACAACGCAAACGTGTTTGGCAGAAAGGAATCGCTGTTTTGTCTAGGAACGGCTTCTCAATTGCGCTGGTATGTAGTATGCATGCGTAGGGACGATGCATGGTCCATTTGCATACTTCAGGTATGCGATGACAGCTGGCCCATCAAAGCTGCTGTGAATCCAGCTTTGCTCCAAGCCTGTGAGACTGCTCGCCATGGTGTCGAGTCTCAAAGAATAACTTTTTTGACTTCACATCGGAACGCTTCACCCAAATTCAATTGACTCAACACTTCAGTTGCGACGCAGCTCGGTGGCAAGTAGGAGTTTAAAAAGGCTATATGCAGGCACCCCCCAGAAACTCCTTGCGGGGTAGCCATTGTCCCAAACAAGGAGCCTGCCAGTGAATCTCCCGGAAACAACAAAATTGGAATCCGGTTGCTGCTCACTGTCAGTTGAGGGAAAAACGGGCAAGCGGCAAACCATGCCAATTTGCTTGACTTGTACTGAGTTGAGTGTCAGCTTAGACCGATCAGATCATCTTCCCCGCAAACACTTGACAAAAGCGTGAAGCGGGCCACCGACGTGAGCTGAGAACCGCAGTGCAAAATGTTCAGCACAGATTGTTTACCCACTGTAGCTGATCACACAAATGTGCCCTCTCTGTTGGGGAAGGTCAAACATCACCTTGACTGGTCAGGACCCTGGATTGTAAAAACGGTATCTGCTGAATGCATATCAAGTCTTCGGTGAACTCACATCAAGGTCTTCCTTCGAAATAAAACCGTTCTGTGAACATCTGTTTGTATCTGACGCCAACTCTTGAGACTGCGCAGCTCACTACAACCCGATCGCAAAATGTGCAGGGAAGTTGACTTCAAAAACGGATTCACAAGTAGCTTGCTTCAAAATCCATGACGATCTCCAGAGATCTTTCCATCCGGCAATTGGAAGTGATTTTTCCGAGCTTGGCGATACTTTGATGATACAAATGATGCAATTGCGCACAAAAAATCACAGTCTTGCCTTGTTTCATTTTTTGGGTAACATTTTACAGTAACTGAGATTTCAAACTCGATCTATATACATCTATTTGTAGGGAAACATGGACTGGATAGCATGACTTAAAACGAGCGGAAGAAATGAACCCGCCAGAAGGAAATGAAGCTTGCCAACAAAACTTACCGAGATGACCTCAGTCCACTTTGCTACTTTTAAGTACAAAAAAAAGCCATTGAGCTCCAATTCAATACCCCATCATCACCATCCCGAAATCAGAATCCAGGAACAGGAACTATAGAATGGTTGAAATGCAGTGCAAAACACCAAGCTAGTAACGAGTCCAAGAACCAGTCCAACACCCTGGCAGACCAAAGCTGATTCGAGAAAAGATGCTTTGCAGGAGAAAAGAAGCAATGTCGCGATAAGTGGAAAGTTAGGAATACGAATGCTTTTTTACGTCTTCAGCCAGCCACTTGGCTCTCAAAGGAATGGCAGGCTCTCAAGCTACTTTGTGGAAACAAAGACAAACAACCTGTCAAGCTCTGTACATGTTTCAGGCAGACAGGGGAACACAGGCCATGCAGTTCAGTCTAGGCAGACTAAGCATGATGGCAATGGCAAATGCATTTGACGACGTCATCTGCAGTTCTCGCAGGCAGTGCGTCGGGGCAACTGCACGTATCATCACCACCTTCAAATAAGAGAGCACAACACTGCCACAGTATATTCTTGTATATATATATACACATTCTTTCAATGCATTCATTACCTCAACGAACAAACACCTCTAGCCCAAACTTGCAAAAGTGCTACGCTGGCTTTTGGCGCTGCACACTACGCAACACTGCGCAACCCTGGCTTCCTTCAGAAATCTGAGCCATGCCCCAAAACCTCAGACATGAGACACATTGAGACACATCAAACACATCAGACACATCGCTCATGACAGAGTTGGGGCGGCTCTAAAACTTCTCATGACTAGTTTGATCAAGAGCCTCGGTTTGGAGGTACATGAGCAACAGCACGCGCTGGGCTCAAAAAGGAGCAGGTATGCACTCCAACCTTGCTGCCAAGACTTGCCAGGAGACATGCTCATTCGTCTCAAACTGTGTCCACGTTAATCCAAAAGGCTGAGCACAGTCCTTGCCTTCTATAGCAAGCAGTCCACCTATCTCAATCTGACTGCAGCTGTTGCAACTGTTCCACGAGCACTCGGGAATTGCCAATATCATACGATGTTCCGCTACCAGTGCCTATATTACATCATCTACTATGGTGTCTTATTGAGACGGCACAACATTGAATTATTAAGACATGGATTCTGAACCGATTCCATGAGAGCCACAATTCTGCACAATACCGTGCCTCACAGCCTGGAGAGCATCGTCGTGGCTTGCACCGTTGCATCTTGGAATTCATTCAGCATGCAGAATTTGCTTCTGCTACAATTATATATATATATATATATCCCTCACGTCGAATGCCAGTAAACATCGTCTAAGCTGGGCTGAGCTGTGGCGTACACCGCCAGTCTTCAGCTTGGTTTGGCTGCTTACTGCAACGCTTAGGCTTAGTTTCATCGACAAGCGCCAAGAAAGCATACCTATTTCTGCAGCAGCAGCAGCAGCAGCAAGTGCTGCTGACAAAACCGGAACGCGCCAAGACTGTGGCCACCCGTTGTGCTGCTTGGCCGGCGCTGCGTGGGGAGTGTCATCTGTGGCCTGCAACATCAATGGCATCTGTCACAACATGGGCTACAAATGTTGGATCCGAGCGAGTCTTACGGCCGCTGCCTCATGCAGCATACAAAGTTGGGAGATGGGACATTGTACCTGCAAGATCATGCCAGCGCGTGTTCTACATCAACATCCAGCTGGTGTCGCATGATTTTGCAGGCCTTCAGCCACTTAGTTGAGCAGTTGCCTCTTAGTTAGGGAAACTGGTTGTAACCACTTACACATGGAACCCAAAGGCCCAGTTAGAATCATGATACTTGTGGTACTTAGAATAAAGCAATGTGTACTTAGAACCAGAGACTGGAAGTTTTGTTTCCCTGGCACATTCAACACTACGAGCCTGTAAATAAAAAAATATATATATTTATATTTATATACATATATATCCAGACATGCACATCTTCACACCTGCACATCTTCACATGTGCACATCGATCTCTCTCTCTGTCTCCCATGCTCTCAGCTCTCTCTGCCTCTCTTCTCTCTGTCTCTCTGTCTCTCTCTCTCTCTCTGTCCTGTTTCTCTCTCCTTTATTCTCTTTCGTTCTTAGACACCTGGCGCATACAACCTCTTGAGCTTGAAAAGGGTGAAGGACCAAAAAGAAGCACAGTGTCAATTAAAAGAAAATTCGGCGGGATCAAGAAAAAGAAGTGTACCAAAAAGGTAGAAGAAGAGACTAGGGAAAGGACAACAGCAGCAGGCCGGGCGACCAGAGGACAATGACAGAGTGATTGCAACAAAAAACAACTATTCAGGCGAGGGTGTGCAATACTTGCTACGTGGATATGCTATGGCTATGGGGTGACCTTCAAGAAGTCGGTCGTGGCAGCCCAGTGCATTGGCCAAAGTAGCGCAGGCTTCGTGGCGCCAAAGCGTTGCAAACTGCAAAAGCCACTAAACACTGAAGGCATCGAAAACTACGCGCCGTACTGCCCAATCAATGAGGGGCCCATACCGCGCGCAACACTAAGTCAAAAAGACTTAGGCGGGCGCGCGCAATATTTTGTGAGAGCGATGGGTGCGTGGGCGACCTTTAGAACATCTGTCGTGGCAAGACCAACTCATTAGCAAAAGTAGTGCAGACCTCGCGGTTGCTGGAGGCGTTGGGGGGGAGGGGGCGGCGCCTCCCCCGAGAGCGAACCAAACATCAAAAGCCATCAGACTCAAAAGGCACCACGCAATAGATCACCATCAAGAACTACACCCCATTGCCTCCTCGGTGAAGGGCGCTCAAAAGGTGTTGCAAAGACCTAGGCAACCGGGTAGCGCTTTGCTTTCGCAAACTTGACCAACATTGACCGAGGACAACGAGGCCAGCGGACCAGGAAAGGGGGACGAGTAGGGCACCAAAAGACCAAGGGGGCCAAAGGACAAGGGATGAAAGGACCACAGAACCAAAGAACCAGAAGGCCAAAGGACCACACCAAAAGACCCAAAAACCAACGGAGCACGGGACCTTCCCTAACCCGTCCAAGAGACCAAACTATCAGGGGACCAGCAAATCAAAGAAGCACCAGGACTAGGAGGCCAAGCAAAAAGGGACCAAGGGCCAGGGGATTGGACCAGGAGGCCGAAGGATCAGGGGACCAGCGGACCAGGAGACCAAGGGCCCAGGGGACTAGACTCGAAGACTGGATTTGCTATTTTTTGATCCAGAGCAATCGAAGTTAAACGGTATACTGTACAAATTTGTACAATTTGGCGTCACCATCATCACATTGTAGGGCCACCCATCGAACATGGTTGCATGCTACCTTTTTTGCATGATTGGCTCCTATTTGCGGGGCAGGATGCTTTACATAGGGTTGATGTGGTTCAGAGACGTTTTGTCACAAAAGGAACATTCCCACCTTCACAACAGAACCACAACACAAACAATCACTATTGCACTAATTATGGATGTCCCTGCGCCACGGAACGCCGGAACGCAAATAAACACGCGAGCGTCTTGCGTCACCTTATAGCCTTATAGTTCATCTCCTATACTGCGCTTTCGGGCGGGCGACCCTGTCGTCTAGTTGGGATTGGCGGCAGTCGGCTCACTCATGCCCAGTCCACTCCAGATTGCCCGTGGCAACGTTGAAGCCTTGGCTGCTCAGCTCTGTAATAGTTGTTTTTGCCTCTGCCAGGCAGCAACGCTGTCACCTCAAAGAACCTACGCCCCGTTTTGATCACGCGAAGGGCCGTACATGGTTCTACTGGGTCCTGGCATAAAATAACTTCCATGTTGCCGCTCGACTACTTCGACTTACCAGTTGTACAGTAGCTCCCCTCTTCACCGCCTCATGAAAAATGTCCAAGCGACGGAAGACAGAGACCTTGTCTGAATCCTGATTGGCTGAGATGAGCCACTGGCCTGGAACAGTGTGTTTATGTTTCAGAGCTTTTGATAATGGAAACACTGTGTATATGGATCCGCCAGTCTAAACATTGTTGGTGGACTGCGTCTGCTCCAACTACGCACTGCTGTAAAACTAATTGATTTCCCCACAGCTCAAAATCATTGAAGCCCGTTCCCACCAAAGGTGTCACCAAGTGCTTGGAGGATGTTTCATAGGTGCGGTTGAATGTTTTGATATATAAGTCAACGATGAAAAAAAATAAAGCGATCAAGGACTTCTTGCGTCATGGATTTCTTTGACAGTTCCAATCAAATTTGTCCTGAAGGCTATATACACATGTATTAATATATCACTGATTGCGCCTGAGCCGTTGATTCTTGCGCGTACTTCAATTTATGCCAAATACATGTGTCCGCTCAAAAAGAAAATCTCAAAAAAATAACGAAGTCTTGCCTGAACTGTCAAACTGGAAGTGTCTTGGAGTAGCACCACGAGTATGCTGCATCTGCCTGGTTTGAAAGGTAAACAGCAATCGTCAAACAAATCCATCGGACTAGCATATTGACTCTGAACAGTAGTTGGTAAGACTGTGGGTGGGATCGAAGTTGGTCTTGTGCAAGCATGTCTTGGATATTGTTCCTGAACCCTGCAATGTCCCTCGGTCTGCCCACACTAATGACAGCATGCCCTGGTTGTCATGCTCGGAGTGGACTCGGAACACAGTGATGCTGTTGTGTCCTGGGTCGCGGAGGATGGAGTTTCACCGTGAGCTGTTGACAGTCGCTCCTCTGTTGGAAACCAGCACAAAGTGCCCAGAGCTGTGGACCTTGCTACACCAAGATATGCCAAGAAAATGAAAAATGAAGAAGGAAAAGAGAAGGTGTTTGTCCCCTTAGTATACAGGAGTCTTTTTGAAGAGGCCCAAGCACCTTCTCTTTCCCTTCTTCATTGATATCCTGCGTCGAAAAAGGAAATGTAGATAGTTCTGTCGTCTGAGAACGGCGCCGAAATGCGGCCGCATGTGTTCATGTCATTGGGCCACGCCTCTGGGATCGTCCTGACCTACAGTGAGTCATCATGAACCCCGCAAGCGCTTGCAAACCACACCTGCCCAACAACAACAACAGCAACAACAACAACAACCACAACAACAACAACAAGGTACAAACAAAAACGGCAGCCCCGCTACAACATATCTTGTTCCTTTGTCTCTACAAGGGGGTGGAAAACAACCAGCCAACAAGTACTTTTACCAGTCGTGGTAGCGCTTTTACTAGTGCTAGTACCAGTGGTACTGGTACTAGTAGTAGTCGTTGTTGTAGTAGTCGTAGGAGGAGGAGGAGAAGGAGGAGGAGGAGGAGGACGAGGAGTAGTAGTAGTAGTAGTAGCAGTGGTAGGGGTAGTATCAGTAGCAGTAGTAGAAGTAGCAGTAGCCTAGTAATGCTAGTAGTAGTAGTAGTAGTAGAAGTGGGAGTAGGAGTAGTAGCAGCAGCAGTAGTAGGAGTAGTAGTAGTAGTAGTAACCGGCCAGCTGAGCCTCTGTAAAACTTCTACTTAGAACCTCTACCACATCCTAAAAAACTGCATCCCCGTTGTTTTCTTGTAGAACCCCTCCTCAAAAGGTGTTGTTGTCTTTAACCCCTCCTAGAAACAAAGACCGCCAGCCCAGACTTCAGTGAAACAAGTCCAAGTCCACCTACTTACAAAATCGACATTCGCTCAAACCTTCAACCGTACCCCTAAGCTTGTCCCCTTGAAGTTCCAAAGTTGCAACATGTGACAATGATGCTGGGCGGCTGTTTATGTTTCCACCAACAACAACAACAACAACAACAACAACAACAACAAACAGTTCCTCCTCGCGCTTAGCAGGTTTTCAGCGGTTGGATCACGTCCTCTCTTTTTCAGAACGAACCCAACGAATTCAACCACCTTCGAAACTCGTGAACCTCTTTGAGCTCATCTGGCAGAGCTCGCAATTGCAGCGCCTGTTCCTTTCAACAATTCATATGGCAGACCTGCGCGCTGCTACTGATGGCCACGTTGAAACAAGAGACTCAGAGAGAGTTCTCCAAGCACCCCGAGCGGTGGCGAAGCAGGAAGCAACGAGGCGTAAAGGCAAATTAGCTTCCTATAGTCTTACGTTCACCAGAGGTGGCTTTGTTCTAGAAGCCTTGTATGTGGAAAAAACAAAAAAGCACAAACCCAAAAAAAAGTACAAGCAAAGAAGAGAGTGACTAAGAAAGCCCCCCCAAACAAAAACACACAAAAGAAGCACGCGCGACTTAAAGCACTCTTAAACCTGGTGGGTTGGCTCCCCAAAGCCAGTGCCTGGCTCCACAAAAATCCTGATTCGTTGTTGACCAAAGATTCGGGCCAGGCTCTCCCCCTTTGCACGGAAGATCCATATTAAGGCAGGTGCGGGGCGGTGGCATTTGCGTTTGGCGTCCCGCCGCCGACACGTTGAGATACCGAGGACAAGCAGTTGGGGACGGCTTGTTTGGTTGGCCAGAAACCAATACTTTGGGTCATCATGAACTTGGTTCCTTCCAACGGCTTGTTCCAACCGAAACCTGGCGCAGCCCACAAACTGCCAGGCGCCAATGAACAGGTAGAAAACGATCAAACAAATGTTTACAAGTGCCTTCTACCTCTTTGAGATCCACCCTGTTTGGGAATGTAGCCTGCCCATGGCCAGAAGCTGATGCATCACTGCTGGGTGAAGGCTACGCGGCACGGGAAACATTTGCGCTTTGCTTGAACGTCCTCCTACTTCTGGGCGAGCAACAGGAAATGAATCGGGCTAGCCTGCCAGAAGCCTTAGAAAGTGACTGGACGGAATGAGGTCTGATTTTGGGGAGAGGCATGTCTCGGATTTTCTTGCTGAAAGGCAACAGCGGAGAGAATTGAAGGCCAGGACAGAACTACTTACTGCGGCGTGGCAGCTTGCTTTTCCATAGCGCCATAGCGACCTTCGTACTCCCCGCACGCGGCCTGGTCAGCGCAAGCAATGCTTCTTCTTCTGCGGGGGGCGTGGGACTTGGCAAACAACTGACTGACCTGGGCAATGACTTGCTGTGGGTTGACAGCAATGAGAGTCGACTATGAACTATGGCCATGTCAGAAATGAAACTGACCAGCCGGCTAGAAAGCGGTAGGCGTAGCAGAGCAAGAGAAAGCTTCTCTTTGCTGGGGACGGTTGTTCTGTGGGTCCCGGCCGGTGGCGGGCCAAAGTGCAAGCATTGTCTGAAGAGGGAGAAACTCTTTCTTACGCAAGCAGAGTCCTGCGCACCAATCCTTCGCAGGAAGCTTGTATTTGTTGCTGGCACTTTTTTGGTCTTTGGAAGCACTTTGAGGAGTTTTGGCAGACCACGCCACTACTCCAAAAAATTGCAGGGAATGCTGGGCTACTGCGTTGACAGCAGCCAACATCTGCCCAAACGCCTGCGAAGCAGGACAGGAAATTGCCTGCAGTTGTACAGGGCACTGTACGGCACATGTGGATAGTCCTTGACGCCAACTTGCTTGATATGTTGGCATCCGAAGTGCCTGACGATACAATTTCAGCCCAACATCACGAAGAAGGGAGCCTCCACCGTAGTCTTCCAGCCTCACCTCTCCTATCAACGCATGACCTTGTGTCAAAGTCGAGGACTGCCATCCAAAGGGTTCCTCAATGCTAAAACGGCATACAAAATAGGCCCGTCATCTCTCCCTGCGCCTCTTGCGGTCTCGCTCCCCATCCTCTCTCTTGGCCTTTCCTCCTCTGCTCTATCTACCTCAAGCACGTTCCTCTGTTCGATGTGGCACGGCTTCCTCTGACGACTCTGTCCCAGAGTGAAGCGTAGCTCTCCAGCCAATCGCCTCACTGCAATACGCGCTCTACACGTGCCACTCTCCTCCACCTGGTACTGCCGTCCACACGAGGCACAGGGCGGTATGCGCATTCCCACCCCTCAAGCTAAGAACATGGACCAAACCTCAAAAACGACTTGAGAGAAAGCTTCGACCGAAAGCTCAACGAACTACTTTGGAGACAACAAAGATCATGGCATGCGACCCAAAGCATCCCAAAACCACAGTCACAAAGACTAAGTCACCACCTCAACCATCACCAGCATCACCACCAATACCACCATGGCCACAAAAGCCACTCAACTCAAACTCATAAGCGTCACAGACAGTCTGAACTCACGCATGTAGTTGTTTGCGGTTTGATAGGTCGCCTGGTGTTTTATTCCGTGTTGTCACGCAGTTGTTTCGGGGAGCTGCGATGGTGGGGCCCTCGTTTACCTGGGCTCCATGCGGTTTGTACTAAGCGCAAAGTTGGGGCAGCTGTTGAAACGTCTTGTTGGCCTCAGTGAACAAACTTTCCAGAACACAAAATCTTGTGACAGGAACAGTCTACCCTCTGAGTCAACCACAGAGAAGCCTCTCGGCATTCTCCTTGTCAAAAGCAAACACCGAGACCTGGCGAACAAGTCTGAAAGACAGTGGTCAACATTGCCCAGGAAAACCTTGCACAACCCAAGGTAGCTTTTACCACATCCAACTGCTTGATTTCACTCCTCAACACGGAACCTTGCATTTCGCACTGTTGAATATTGCTCAGCAGCCTCAGATGAGAGCTCGTTGACAACGTAGGCAACAGGCAATGTTGGGTGGAACCTACCAAACAAAGCACGCAAACTGTTGCTATTGTTGCTAGCGCTGGCGTGCAAAGGGGTTGAAACACAATGGCCAAACAGGGAGCGCCCACACTCTGGAGATTCAAGCTTGAAGACGTAGGGGGTACCCGTGCAGTGTCAAAAAATGGCACGCGGCAACACATGAAGGCGCCGTGCTGCCACGCGTTCTTCCCGACAAGACGAAAAAAGAAGGCACGACGCGCAAAAGAGACTTACTCCGGCTAACTAGCCAAAGCTACAGGCATCAGTGACCGCAACCAACATGTTGCAACCTTTGACCTGCCCTGGATCAATTCAAGACAAAACCAGGCTAAGCCAGGGACCCAAAAAAAGAAGGACACAAGAAGCATAATGCCACTGAAACTGCAGTGTACACATTTTTGCTATTCGTGCTTGTGTACGCACGCTGCACAAAATGAATCGAAATCTGAAGCACTGATATGCACTCGTCGCTTGCTTAGGTCATGGTACATCACAGTGATCTCTTGGCTCATCTGGAACGCAACATGTCCAAAGTCCAAGCGTCCAAGAACTTTCAACATGAGTTCAAATCCAAATTGCTTGGCATGTATTGAACTCTTGTTTGACATGCTTGACATGGGTTCAGGACTTGCACCCTCACAATTCCATATGCATATTATTGTACCCTATCATACTACCCTACCTTGCTTCGATCCTTCCCACTGACAAGGACAAAACAGATTTGAAATCACAAACACACCAGCACACATGCTGTGATATATCTTCAGGGTGGTTCTGTCACTTATTGTATTTAGGACGAACTAAACGCACAACAAACAAAAACACAAAAAAAAACAAACCAACCGAAATCAATCAAACAAAACAAAACAAACAAACCAACCAACCACCAACGAACGAACGAACAAACGAACGAACAAAAAGAGAGCAAAGGGTCGAAGGAACAAACGCTCTTCAGCGCACACCACTCCAATGAATAGGGCACCTTAGTGACGTTGCGCTTTTCTATCAACGATATTTAAAAAAATAGATAAATAAGTAAATATTTCGACATATACAGATATACACACATAGTATTTTTAGTCGTCGAAAGTTGCGCGTCAAACCCACAATGCCCAGCTCTTGAAAGTCAAGGAGCTCAATGTAGCGTGGACCGAGAGCAGTTCGGCCATCTGGACCTGACCTGCGGTTGAGTTTCTGCTTCACCCGGGCAAATAGTTTGTTTTTGTTTGGAAGTCAGACTGTTGAGCAAAGAAACGTCAATTCATGTCAAGACTGCAAGAGCATTGAGTAAGAGCCCCCACCAGCATTTCAATCTAGGTCATCCCAGTCTTCACTGCACCATGTTCAAGACAGTGCTCCGCCCCAACTCACTTTGCACGGCCCCGCCAGCAACAACAGGCAATACAGCAATGTCACCAGTCATGAAAGGAAAATGAACAAAGAACCAGGTGATTTCAGTTTTGGGCAAAAAAAATGTTGACGCCAAAACAACAGTACTGAACACTTAGATATCCTGGTTTTCTCAAAACAACATGTTAATACAAACACAGTAAGTGTAAGAATGCAAAACAGACCCTTCGGGTCTCCCGCTGGCCTACCTGCAAGTTCCTGCGCATTCCAAAGTGCCCGATTCTGGATCAAACCTACCAAGAGCAGGGTTTTCATGTTTCGTGTTTTGTATGACCTTGCTGGAGGGTTTACATGACTTGTAAAAAGTACAAAACCCGTGGAGCCTGCGAACCCTTTTTCAACCCACTCGCACACGTCTTGCAAAACCTTTCCTCGGTCTCAATTTTTACGCAATATCCGGAAGGCCCATAAACATGCACGTATCTTCGTCTGAGCAACAAGTCATTTCAACACCAACCTTGAAGGTCAAATCATGGTCTACATTAAGGTCTCTTTCAAGTCAACACATCAAAGGGCACTCCATTGCCAACAATGTCGATGAAAAATCTTGCAACATGTCAACAACAAAAATTCCCCGCCTGAACTGCCGGATGAGGTCCATGCCTTGACAACAACCAAATCTTTGTTGACTGCGAAGCACCTTTCTTCATGAATCAGCTGAATAGCTCTGAGTTACAAGCCCAAGTCAGGCACGTAAGCAATTTTTCCAAAGAACCTCGGTTGAAAGACTGTTTTCAGTTGGAAACGCTTGGATTTGGCAAAATCTGAGGTTTCAACAAATCAACTTAATTTACGGGCTGCTTAAGATTGTAGTGACACAAAGCCACTTCGGCCCTCAGTGCGCTGCGGGTCAAGAATGACAGCGTGAGAGTGCCTTGGCGCGGCCAACCAGAGTTGGTGGGTTCCAACCAGTAACCTGACACCATCTGGGTCCTTGTCTGGTTTTTGGCTGCGTCTTATTCTCATTAGTTCCTTTCACCTTTTTTTCGCTGTTTTTTTGCTTCTTTCTTGTGTTTTCCCTCTTACCAATTGCTTTAGGCCTTTAAATTTTTCTGCCCGTCTCTTCTTGTCTTTTTCCAACTGGAAGAGGCACCGAACTGACCACACAGGAAAGCACCAACCGACGACCCGCAATCACTTGACAACCCGGCCCCGCCCGAGCACCTCATCGAAGCAATATTTTACCCCGCGCGTCGTTCCCAGATCCCGAGCGCCCACATGCAGCGCCCACATGCACTCAAACACCACCGGCGTCTTGGCAACATCTCCACCAACTATACAGCGACGAACGAATTTGCTTGCTACCGGCTCATCTCACGTCAGGCTGGTTGAGAGCAAATCAAGCCGCCGCTAACATATGGCACAAGGACGAATTCGCTCCACGGCTGCTTTGCTCAGCTTTCCTTTTTTGAGCCCCGTAGCTGCAAACTCTCTTCTGTCAGTGTCTGATGCGCGGAATGTAGGGGTAGTGGGCGCTCGTTGTCACCTTGGGCTTAGTCCTCGTAGAACTCCACGCGAACAGTGTGATGAAGTCCCACTCGGCCAAAAGTGCACAAATGAGGTCCTTGTCAGTCTTGTTCCTCAACTGTTCAGCTCGTCCATTCGGCTTCCAATGAGCCAGGGCCACAACCACCAGCTGCTTGAGCTCGCTCCTTCTCTTCCCTCTCTTCCCTCGCTCCTTCTCTTCTTGAGCTCTCATGTTTCTGTCGCTCCTTGCACAACGAAGTTTGCTCTCCTGACCTTCCTCTGGTTGTCCAACGCAACCACGCTGCACCTGCTGCACAAAGCTGTTTCCTGTCCTCCAGCAACCCAGGCTAGCAGCAAAAGCTCTGCAACCCAAAACAGCGGCCTCCGTGGATCGCCGGCAGTGAAGCAACAGGATTGTTTTCCACATGTCTCGGGCCTAAATGCGTGCGTTGTCTTCTCGTTTTGCGCGTGTCATCCTGCATTGGCAGTCGCTCGTGCAAATCTGTCACTTTTCAATCTTTCTTTCGTTCTTGCGTTCCTTCGTTCTTTCTTTCGCTCGCTCTTCTATTTACATCCATATACGGCAAGTTTGTCTTTCTGTGTTTCTTGATCATTTTACGCACCTTTTCTGCGACAGGTCTTCATGATACGTGTGATGCTTGTTACACATACTGCAAATGGTTCACAAGGAAAATGGTTCGCACCCCTTCTGGGCGATGTGAGACCCTAAAATGCATCTTTGGGCTCACCTTGCCACCATACTCCGTTTTCTCTCATTTCACTTATACCTCTCTGTGAGTTGTCTGGCCTCTCAGCAACTGGGTTCCTAGAGTGTACTGAATCATCTGTTCATTGGTCCTCTTGATGGGTTTGCTCCTTCATTTTCTGCTTCTAACATCACTCTATGTCCTTCATACCATTCTTCTGTAGCTTGCATAGCTTCCAAACTTCTTCTTCCTAAGAAGTTTCCTGCGTTGATCTCAATCAAGATGTCACAGCTAAGAATAGCCTGTCGACTTGGTGTTTCTCTCTCTCTAAAAAGCCTCCATTCAGAATCAATCCGCTGTGACTTCTCCTGACATAGTCCTTCTTGAGTAGATCTAAATCGAGTAGATCTAAATCGCCTGCATCACTCTCAAAATCTCTGCTACCAATTTCACATTCTGTTGTCCTGAACTCTAGGGCATTTGATCTCCAATCAGTGTACTGCCAATTGTCATTGTAGCGTCTCTTTGTGTGACCCCATAGCTCGTGATAGTGGTCTTCAACTCGCTTGTAGGAGCTTCCAAAGTGCAAAGATTGCTGACCCAAAGAAAACGATGCTGATTGCAATGATCACTATGATCCAAAATCTCCAATTGTCATTGGATTCCTTCATCTCTTCCGGTCTCATGTCTTCCAATCCACACTGGATATTGTCTCCTTCTTTCAAGAATGCTTCTGTAGCCATTGGCTGCAAGCCCTCCAACGCTACCATTCTCACAAGCGTCCTTGCAATCTTGTTGACCTTTCCTGCGTTCCTGCAAATTTTTCTTTTCTTCAAATTCCCTCCTCTCATAGTCTCCTACTCTCACTTGGTCTTCACTGTGCCAGTAATCATTTAAGTGCATCAAATGTCTGATTTGTTGTCCTCCAAGTGGCTTTGTGTTGAGGTCTGCTATGCTGCTGTCTGTTGGCACTTGTACCATCTTGAAACCTTTCCTGGTCTGAATCCATAGCAACTTTCCATCTAAATGCCTCACTGTTCCAACTCCTCTCTTTGTCACAAGTTGGCGCACACTTGATGAATCTGTGAAGATGTAATGGTCCACCTTTGTCCTAAGAGCAAATTCCAGAACTGCTCTGATATAGATTCCATCTGATGCTGAGGAAACTATTGCGTGTAGCTCTGCTTCGCATGAAGATAAGCTAACGCAGTGTTCTACTGCTGTTGAACAATGGACAATTATTCAACACATGGAATCCTCCTGACGTTGGCTTTCTGTTGCTTTTGTTTCCACTCCAGTCTGAGTCAAAATACCTCCAAGCACCAAAAGATTTCTCCTTTACTAGACAACAGCCCACGGTCTTCTTCGAGTATCCTAAGAATTTCTTCAAGTGATGAAATGACATAGCTGTAGGATTTGACAGTCTTGGAGCCAAGTCCTTCACTGCAAAATGCTACATCATACATCTCTTACCTGATCCAACCATGCTTCTGAAAAGGCAAATCTTCTCTGGATCGGGTTGTCAGCCTGCTCTTCATAGGCTTTCAGCATCTGCTGGGTGCAACTGCCTGGTTCGATCCATAGTCCATCAACTTCTAGTTTGCACTTTCTCCTCAGAAAATGAAACTCATCTCCAATCCTCTCAATCTTGCTCTCGCTGGTGTCAAATTTGCCATGTATCTTTGGAAGAAAGATTTCATTGGTGTACTTTGAGCTTCCTGTGAAAACCAAGTCATCCACATGGATCAAAATGACTCTCTTCTCATTTCTTCCTAGGCGCGGGCGCTCAGCACTGAACTTTTAGTTCAGTTCCTCTGTGAGGTGGGAATTCTTCTCCTCTCAGGATCACTTTCAATGGCTTCTCTTGTAGAACTTGTAGACATGCGTCTTTCACATCAAGACATCCTAGCACCTGTGAGAATGCTCCTTCTCCCTCTCTTGCCTCATCTTCTTCACGGATTCTCTGCAAGAATATTGAAGGTAGAAGCTCCAGTACATGCCCTGAAGTCGGTGGTGGGAAAATGTCAACCTTTCCTTCAGCGAAAGCAAATTCTCTTGCAACTAGTCTTGATCTCTCTTCCACCTCTTGACTGAAACGCCATCTCCAAGTTGATACGGTTTCTTCCTCCAATTGCGTGCTGTCAGGTAACTGATTCCTTTTGCGTTACCTTCTGGTTTCTTTAGCACCTACATTCTTCCACTTCATCAGCTACTCTGTCAATCCATTCTTCTGGATCTCTTTCAGGTCCATGTTCTCTATCACGCCACAAGCATTCAGGCCCGTTGATTTCTTCCAAGTCGGAATCAGATAGCTCTTCATCTACATGGTAAAGATCTTCTCCTCCAACGTTCACCATGTTGAACTTGGCCTTCTTGCTTGAATCATCTTCGTTGGACTTTCCTCCTCAAGCAGCAATTCAAACGCTTCTCTGGGTCTGGATGGCACTGAGGACCCCAATGAAGATAATATAGGCGTAATTGGATTTGGCTGTCCTGCTGGCAATGATGTAGGGGAAATGCCTTCACTTCTTCAAATGTCTTCTCATCTGCTAAGAGAACTTTCTGTTTCTTACTTGCAGTCTCTTCTCCACTTGGCTTTCTTTCACTTCCATCCCTTTTCATTGCTTCAACAAGAATTTCCAGCCGGGCTGGAATCTTCTTTTGGAAATAGTGGTTCTTCCTCTCCCCCTTCCAGCGCCTTGGCCGTAACTGCTTTTGCATCCTCATCTCTCTGAACTTCACCGTCGAGGAATGTCTGTTGTTTCTGAATCCCTGGCTCTTGAGTAGCAAAAGTCAAAGCTTAGGTCAGGAACGCTGCCCCTCTTCACTCCACCTATTCTTTCAGGGCGATCTGATGCGCAATACACTCCTTACACCAACTGGCATGTGGCATGTGCGTCAATCTCCATCTTATTGTTGCGACTGAGGATCTTGGAGAAGACCTTTAGCTTAGAGCCACTGCCTGAATGCCAAGAAACGAACACGCTGCCCTCCGAGTTGCCAAAGATGAATCCTTAGTCATTTGTCTACATCCATTGGGCTCAATTGTAGTTCACATTCAAGGTCTTCGTCTTTCTTTCCCTCTTCTCTCTGCCCTGGTGCAAAGAAATCGGCTCATAGCTGAAGATTGCGATTGAAGGAGTGACTGCATCATCATCAAAGACTTGCTCCTCAAGTTCCTCCTTCTTCATCATGCTTTCACAAAACTCAGGCATTAGCGATCGACCTCCTCTTTTCACCAAAGTAGTTCTCATCAACTCTGGTGACTCTTGCACTTCTGGAATGACTGTGGGATCAACAAACCTTGAAGCCAATAAGCTTCCATAAGCTTCCAACTAGTCCATGCTCATTGAATCTCCAACCTCGTTCTTTTTCCAAAGCTTCAGGTACTTGCACCTCCAAGCAGTTCTCATCTTCATCTCAAAGGACTCTAATGCAACCTTGAAACTGTTAAAGAGCGATTTTGTAGGTTGAGGAGTACCTTCAAGCCACCATCCTCCAACATTTGCTCTCTGCTGTTGATTCCCCAACCATGTTCCATCAACCTTCCATAACAAAGTATGGGCTGATTCCCCTTGGAACTGAAGATCACATTCTCTTTGAGAAGAACTTCTCGTCCATCAAGGTCACGCAAGGGAATTTCATCGCTTTTTGCACCTCCTGTGGGGATACGATTTCATTGAACATCTTGTAGCTTGGT